AAAAAAAAAAACAAATTTCCTACCACATAATTGTCACGATTTATGGTATCAAGAATCAATTATTATTGCACATTAATTTATATTGCAATAACTAAAAAGCTGACTGCTCACATCAGCCCCTGTAAAAGATGGAACAAAGAATCTAGTCTGATTATGGTGGCCTAAACAAGCCTAAACCATACCTAAACTAAAAAAAGTTACATAATTTTTCTTACATAGCTCGTAGCCCAATATACTCTCACTTATCACTAACACTGCAAGGGCTCTCAACCAATCATTCTTATTCAATGTAATCAATAATGATATGGAAACTCCACCAGTACCAGAACCAACACATTCAGCCTTGGTATCTTTTATTGTTATGGTGTGATTGACCATAGTACCCTATGCGTGGTAAGTTTCATAAGGACTGATAGATCTTAAAATTTTCTAAATTTTAAATTCAGTAGCCATGCATGCAATATCTATGCATGCATGAAGCAAAATTTTGATAGAATGAAGTCATTATGAACAGGATCCAGTTTTTTGGTAGAACAATTTTGTTATAATATCTTGATCCTTTTGACTTGTATGAATATGGGTGTACTGTTTTTAGGCTAATCAGTATTATTGGTTAGAGAAATTTACCAATTTCAGTCAGAATGAGCTCAAAATTTTTACACTAGCTCTACATAAGAAAATATGCATGCATTAGAATTTTCTCCTAGCCATTTTTGATGAAATGTTCTGTACTTATAGCCCATTCCCATTGTTTTTTGTCTTTCGGGCATGATTAAATTCTAATTTTAATCTGAATCAATCAGCTTCACAACATGAGAACATGTATTATTTTAAAATCTAGTTAAAATGACAGATTCTTTTTAAGCCATTCTGACATCCTTTGTCAAATTATGGAGCAGCTGGTATAAACAATCAACTGATCAGTCAGAATTTCCCACAAAGCATGCTAAGTGGGCTAAACAGCATGCTTCATAAACTGACAAGCACTATAATATAGCTACTGCTAGAAATCTAGAATCAGCTTTACAACATAAGAACATGTCATGATGCATCAGACAAAAATTATCAAAATAAAGAATTGTCTCGTAGTCATTTTTGTCAAAATTCAGCCAAAGACCCCATACTATAATAGTACAAGAAATTTGGTCAAATTTTGAGTAACTTAAAAGTTTGTAAAAATTCAATTTGATCGAAATCAGCTCAAATTTGCTACACAACATAAGAACATGTATAAGTATCAGAAAATGGAGAATTCTCTCGTAGTCAATTCTGTGAAATTTGGCGAAAGACCTTATCTAGTACAGGACTTTGGTTTAATTTTTTGAGTATGAGTAATTTTGTTAAAAAACCAATCTTGATACTAATTGATAGGAATGAACTCAAACTTGCTACACAACCTAAAAGCATGCATATAAAAAAAAAGTTATAAGCATGGAGAATTCTCTCCTAGTCATTTTTGATGAAATTTAGTTTACTCTATAGTGCAGTGACTTTAGTCTAATTTTGAGTAACTTAAAACATTTATTAAAAATTCAATTTTTAGCTCAAACATGCTACACAGCATAATGTGTACAAGACAAAAATTAATTATAAAAATAAGAATTCTCTGTAGTTATTTTTTGGAAAATTTGGTCACAAGGACTTTGGAGTACCTGTTAAAATTCATAAAAAATCTAATTTTGACCAGAATTAGCTACTCGATATAAGAACATGTAGATCTATGTGTATGAAACAAAATTATAAAACATTGGATTATTTTCTTTTAGTTGTTTTTAGCAAAATTTTGCTAAATGAAATAGACTATTAATGTTATGTGGTGTATGAACATTTTAAGCTGATTCCAATAAAAACTGAATTTTTAAAGGTGCTAAAAAATTATCCCAAGACATTTTTGATGAGTACTTTTGGTACGACAGCTAATGATAGTTTCTCAACTATATTCAATGAAATGACTTTATTATACACAAAAGAACCAACTGACAGACTTGCACAAATCAATATATAGTGTAACATAAGAATATTCTGGAATCATAGTGAATGTGCATGCATGGAACAGTCTAGAATGTGCTTGTATGATACAGAACATGTAAGTGTCAGACTAATTAAGATAACAAATTAAACATTAACAACTACATGTACATACATTACAATTACACTAATTACATTTAAGTAGTTTCAGTGTATATCTTCCACAATTTTAATATTTTACTATGTAGATTTATTACAAAAAAAATTACAAAAAAATTTCTAGCAATTTTTGAAAAATACCTTTAGAGTATTTTGAACTTTTAAAATCCAAGAACCTGCATGAGCGCTATGCCAAAATCCCAGGCTGGAAAGATACTGGCTTCAATAGTAAATTTTTGTTTACCACTTGCTATTGTTATTTTTTTTAGGGTTAAATGAAGTCTGCAATTAAAGGACTAAATGAAGGTTTATTGTCAATCATCAGTAGTAACTTCAGTATAGGGCAATAACAACTCTTTTGATTGGCAAGAGCTCTACTGAGAAAGGACCCAATTCTAGTACTGGATGAAGCTACAGCTAATAATTTAAACATTTTGCTGTATCATTTTAATTGCAATTGATTTAGACTGATTATATTATTCAAGAAGTAATTTGTGAGCAGTTTAGTGAATGTACTATACTGACGGTTGCTGACCCAATGAATCACTAATGAACTAGGAAACATTGCATGTATGATTCAGGAAAGGACGGTTAGCAAGCAGATTAAGTCAATGGTAGATCCATTTGTATAATTTTTATTAAAATATTATGGAATGATTACATGATTTGTTAATGATTGCTCTCATGCTGAAGCAACCATTGTTTGATAGTTGTCCCGCCACTGCTGTAATGCCCGAGTGATCCATCAGAACGAATGACACGGTGGCATGGAAGAATCAGCGAAAGTTTGTTATTTTTCATGACTTGCCCAACTGCTCTAGCAGCTCCTTCACTACCAGTAAGAGTTGCTACTTCACCATAAGAGATAGTTTCACCAGGAAGTATTTTTTCAAGACATTTCCAAACTTTACTAGCAAATTGGCCTGTATTAAGTATATGAGTATAATAAGGTTATATTTATAGCCTTCAGCTAACCTTCGTGTGATCTGTCTAGTACAGGAAATGTTTCCTTTTTGTTCAAAAAGCTGAAGTCCCCTTCAAAATACTTAGCTAACCAATTGACACATGATTTCAGGTTGATCTTTATGTCAGGTGAACATTTAAGAGCCTCAATTTGTTCATCAACTTCTTTTTCTTTCTCATCTGCTCCTTTTTCAATGAGCAAATCAATCCTATATATACCTTTGGAGGTAGCTTCAATCCTTATTGGACAAAGACAAGACCAATATAGAAGAGCCACAGACTGGGGAGGGGGTTCGGCCATTCAGGTCAGTGGGTAGATCCAGTCTTTAGATTAAGTGGGCTGTGGATTAATTTTGAATCTAGGATATACATGTACTTTCATCACTTTGTTAGCTCAAGGTGCAAACAAAACTTACAAATTTTAAATTCAGTTTATAGATCTACGCTATTACAGGAAAAATAAATGAGTGCTTGCAATTTAAATAGTCTAGAGCACTACTATATAGATCTATAATAAATTCAACAAACAATATAGATCTATCTAAATCTACTAGATTCTAGATTTAGCTAGCTACATGCATAATAGATGATAGATGTACAGTAACAAATTCATATCCAGTATAGACTAGCCTCATAAAATTTTCATTTAACAAACAGTCTCATACAGACAAACATCACAAAATGTACATAGAATGCATGGTGAATACCAGCCACCAAAAATGCTATAAGTCTACTCTAAATTTATAACTATGTAGCTTATTATTACAATTGTTTATAATCACGGACACATCCTTTATCTTCATAAAATTTAATCAGCTTATCCCATGTCATGTCATATCTCAGTAATTTATCATTGCCTATAATAATTATACATAAAAACATGATAACTCTTACAGTCTTACCAATGATTATAAGCCCATATCTAGCACGTGTGATACCAACATTGATTTGATGATCATCAGTTAGAAAACCGAGATTTTCTGTTAGCCATCTTCTGTCAGGTTGAATGTACTTCTTATGACTTATTTCACTGAGTTTTTGTGATCTGACAGTTGTTAGTATGACAATATCGTACTCATCACCTACACAATAATTATTTACAATAATCAGTAACTACATCAAAGGTTACATTAAGCTCTCTATATACCTTGACTTTCAACTATAGTAGCGACTTTAAAACTTTTCTTTGTTTTTAGCTCGGGGTCTTTCTTTATCATGTCAGCAACAAGATTTTTTTGTGCACTATAAGGTGTGAGGACTGCTATGCTCTCATATTTAACGTCATGTTCTTTCACTAACTTCTTAATACACTTTAACTAAAAAAACGTAATAATACATTTTATGCCACAATGCAATCTTAGTTATGCAGTCTATGGTAAAGATTAGTTAAGCAAAACATCACTCAGTTTCACTGAGAAAGGTCCTAAAAGGAACGTACAGAAAGTATAAAAATTTGAGGTGTTTTGAAGCTATTGGAAAAACACTGGCTATAGCCTTGGGTATTTTTCAAAAATGGCCACTTTAAAAAATGACCTTAACTCAAAAAAATTAATTTGGATTCAGTTAAAACTTTCTAAACAACATAAGTACATCAATATGTATCAGAAAATGTAATAAAATTTGTGAGCCTTTTTTGAAAAAAATCATAAGCTTATAAATAATTTTCAAAAATTAGCCATTTTAAAAAATGGCCATAGCATGAAAAATTGAAGTCAGATTTTCTACACAGCATTAGTACATTAATATGTATCAGAAAATGTAATAACAATAATTATGAATGATGTTTGAGCCATTTTTCCATGGGCTATAGGTATTTTTCAAAAAATGGCCATTTAAAAACAGTCATAACTTGAAAAATTGAAGTCATGCAGATTCAGCACAAGCTTTCTACACAGCATAACTACATCAATATGCATCAGAAAATGTAATAAAAATTGAGGGTGATTTTTGAGCCATTTTTTGGAAATAACCATGGGCTATTTTAGCCTTGAATACTTTTTCAATTGGCCATTTAAAAATGGCCATAAATCAAAAATTGAAGTTGTACCTTAAGGCCACTATTATTTGCGAGTACTAATTTTTGCATTTTTTGCTAGTGGCTTTAAAATCGCAAAAATTAGTACTCACATTTATTAATGATTTAGGTTTATTAACAGTTATTAATTGAGAAAAAAGAGCAAAATCGCAAAAAATTAGTACAAGCTAAATCAGTATCATTAACAAATCGCAAAAATTTTTCTACTTAAAAATAAGTGGCTTTAAGGTATTTAGCTCAAACTTTCTACATAGCATAAATGTATCAGAAAATGTAGCAAAAATTGACAGTAATTTCTGAGCCATTTTTTGGAAAAACCATGGGCTACAGTATTTTTTTAACACCCATTTAAAAATGATCAAAACTCAAAAACTTTGAGTCGGAATCAGCTTAAACATTTCACATAGCTTAAGTACATCAGTATCAGAAAATGCAATAATAATATGGGGTGGTTTCTGAGTTAAGCAATTATGAATCCATTTACAGTGTGAACATGGATTTTAATTTTATAAATTCTGAAAAGTTTTCAATTTTTTCAAGGCAGAACCTTGAATGAGGTATGATATCTTGATACTTAATTTCTATTATTAGATTTCATGGAATGAAAATGACAAACAAACAAATAAGACCTCTTACATAAAAAAGGCCATAACTGAAAAGGAAAAATGGTAGCAGTATACTGGTACAACTATATACATATCTATGCAATTGATCAGGGGAGTATCACAGCAAGGATTACCATTATTACCTACATGTACATTACCATTATCACCTACATTGAAATTAACTAGAATCACCATAATTACCTATGTGTGACCATAATTGACAAAAGGTACGTTATAGCGGATAAGAAAATTGATCTTTATAGTGTTAAAAATTCAACTTCCTGAGCTCCATTTATTATAAAATTACTCCAGAGAATGCAAAAAGTTACTATGAAACTTTAAGAAACAATGGTTGTCTAATGGAGCACTCACAGATTGATATTTTTGATTATACAGATCAATTTAAAAATCCGCCATAAGGTACCTTTTGTCAATTATGGTCACATATGTACATTAAATTACTACTACTACCTACATGTACAAGCATAAACATTTATTTTTCTTAATTGTGTACAGACACACATCACTTCCTGTAAGTTTCTCTCTGACTTCTCTAGAACATTCTATTTCACGGGCTCCTACTTTCACTGCGCTATATCGCACTTGATGACTATAATGAAATTAAATTTAAATATTGAATGCTAAAACAGAAATGGCTCCACTCAAATTATACATAATTTTAGTGGGGCCATTTCTGCATGTTTATTTGCAAAACCAAAGCTAATTTAAAGTGTAGGCAATGTGACTTAATCTTCGGGTGTAGCTAAGAGATTGAAAAATTCACAACTCAACTGAGTAGTAAAAAACATACATAATTTCATGTATAAACTACAAAAGCCCAATGCTTGCACAAAACACAATTAGTACACGTTTTTATCTCATGCTTTTGCTTTCAAGAAAATAAAAATTTCTTACCACTGCTTCAGCTTCTCGTTTGTTGTCTTTAGAATGAGGATCGATTTTTCTTGAATATTTGCTATCAGTAAAATCAGTAAATTGTTCTATTCCATAAACTTTCAAAAACAGAACAGGGTATTCCTGTCCCCTAGACCAAAATGAATGTAGAGAAGGAGTTAGTGGATGTCGTCTTTGAACACTTTGATCAGCTTTTAATTTATCATCATAAAATATGCTAGATGGTCCTTGGCATATAAATGAATGCTATAAAAATAAATATAATAACTCGTTAAAATTACAGACACATACCATCCTATATTGTAGTTTCAGTGTTATCAAGTGTGGATTTTTAGTTTTCTCAAACTGATTAGCATATCTCTCAAACAATGAAGTACCCAGGCCACACTCTTTGGCTGGAGGATATTTTATGACTGGTTGTAGCTGCTTGTGATCTCCTATCAGCACTACATGTTCACATAAACTGCTTGCAGCTATTGTCTCAGGCTCAGTGGCCATACCAGACTCATCTATTATACACTGAGCTAGTATGTCTTTGGAATTCAACAATCGTCGACTGCATGTTTCATTACAAGTGCAAAGAATAACATCATAATGATTCTGAATTTCTTCCATCTCTTCAACAGTGATCAATTTCTTATAACTAGACAGAGGATAAATGCACCATCATTATAGTATTATATAAATTTAGGTAGTAAAACTGCACATTTTACAAGTTTCATTCTC